TTTTATTGACTATGCAAAGGCATTTGACTATGTGGACCATAAAAACTTGTAACTTTGCGAAGAATGAGAACCTATACATAGACCAAGAAGCAGTTGTTCAAATAGAACAAGGAGAACAGGGGTTTAAAACCAGGAAAGGTGTGCAGCAAGGTTGTATCCTTTCACCATACTTATTCAATGTGCATGCTGAGCAAATAACCCGAGAAGCTGGATTATATGGAAAACAACAAGGTATGCAACAAGAAGGTGACATAACCTTGCTTGTTGAAAGGGAAGAGGACTTGAAGCACTTACCAATGAAGATTACAGCCTTCAGTATGGATTACACTTTAACAGAAAGAAAATAAAAATCCTCACAAGGAACCAGAAGGTAACATTATGGAAAACCCCAAAACAAACCAACAAACCCACTGCCATCATTCTGGTGGCAACTCATGGCAACCCTATTGGACACAGGGTTTCGAAGGCTGTCCTCTTTACAGAAGACTGCCACATCTTTCTCCTGTAGATCGGCTGTTGGGTTTGAACCACAGACCTTTTGGTTAACAGCAGGGCACTAAAGGGACTGCACCATCAGGGTTGTTAACATCATAATAAACAGAGAAAAGAGTGACGTTGTCAAGGATTTCATTTTACTTGGATCCACAATCAACACCCATGGAAGCAGCAGTCAGACCAAACAACCCAATGCATTGGGCAAATCTGCAAAATACCTCCTTTATAAGTGCTAAAAAGCCAAGATGTCACCTTAAGACCTTAAGAAGCACAGTGTGCCTGACCAAAGTGAGAGGTTTTTTTGTTTTGTTTTGTCTTGTTTTTTATGATTTATTGTGAATTATGTGATAGTATACATGGGAGAACATTAGTTTTACATTCATTCTATTGTATATCATCTCATTGCCATGGGTACAATCCCCTCCATGCAATCCTTCCCCCATGCCCCCCAGGTCTTCAGCACACAGTCGCGGAGTCTCCCTCTCTGGATCTAAAGTCTCCAGCAGGTCCATCGTTCCACATCATCATCTCTGGCTCCATTTCAGGCATCACTGCTTCTCTGGGTAGGGTCCCGCTCTCTGCTCTTCTCCCTTGATGGTCCTAGGGACC